ACTTTTAAAATGTAAATGAGAATGCAGTTCAGTCGTGCGGAAACATAATTTTTGGGAGTTGAAAGTAGGGGACGTGCCATGGACACACTTTTTTGTTCCATTGTGTAATTGTTCAGGGCGCTACATCACAAATAAAGTGACACTCAAATAAAATGGAAAACAGTAAATGTAGCCCACTATGCAGTAAATAACAAGTGATTTATGACACACTATTAGAGTGCACACTGTACACCTAAAAAAAATAAAAATCTCTCTCGGTCAGTCAGTGTTTCCGTTAATCAGCTTGCAGTAATTCATTTACACGTCGCTGCTTATCCCCAGACCTGCTGAAAACAAGAACAGTCATGACTTTGCATGACTTTGAGACTGAGTTACAACTTCTGCTATGAGGTAAAAGCAAAAACGACACTATTGTTGTTTTTTGTGTTTCAACACTCTACATTGGAAACTGGAAAAAAAAAAAAAAAAAGCCAGCAGAATCAACATTCTGGCACTGGATGCACAGGCCTTCCTAATGTTTTAAATTCAACAACAACATGCACCAAACCTCAGATTTCCAACACAAGTTGTTTTCCTTCTATCTGTGAGATTTTCAGGAGACGCAGACAGTTCCTACCACTTTGCTGCCCGGCGCGGTATGTGCCATCCATTGCTCCATTGGATCCCACTGTGGAGTTGGATGTGACAGGCTGCTTGAGTAAAGAGGCAGCGTGGGTGTAGGGCTCTGAGTACAAGAGAGCGTCAGGGTGTTGTGAGTGAGTTTATCCTACTGTGTGTGTGTGTGTGTGTGTGTGTGTGTGTGTGGGTGCTTATAGTGGGCGTTCACGTGTCTGTAGGAATGCCATGTATGGAGCTGGGTGTGTGTCAGGAGTGCTGTGCTGGGGGAGTGTGTACATCCATAGCTAATAGAGCATCTTCCTATATAGAACATGAACATAGTCATAGAAGCTAGAAGTGACACTGAAGTGTGTGTGTGTGTGTGTGTGTCTAAGAGTGCACTGAGCCATGATCCCAGTTTTTTTTTTCTGCACTGTTCAGTGATCTGCTAAGCCCTTCTAGCTTCTCCAAACACTAAATAAGACCTCCTGTTTCTGGGCATTATGTCAAGATCTCCCTCCTATTCATCCACGTATCCAGCCTCCCTTAGTGGACGTCAATCATAGCTCACCTGCACTCAAGTTCACACGGAGGCGAAACTCCAAGAAAAAAAGGTTTTTCATGGTTGTTTGCAAAAGCAGCACTTAGCTATAATGCAATCTAAGAATAGACATTTACATTTAAAGCAAGTTGCATAATATTCATTCCAGCCATCTCCATGTGCACAGAGCAGCAGAAGTGAGCATTCATGAGCCAGACAGAGTGCAAACAGCTCGGTCACAAAGACGCACAAGAGCCAAAAACCAACAGAGAGCAGGAAAAGGGGGTCATTCCAAACGAGGGGGGATATCCGCATGTGCTCTTGTTCAGGGTGTCAGATGTTTTATGGAACACGTAAATTATTCAGCCTTGTTTGCCTTTCAACATCTTCTTCTGTGCCCCGGTGAGGGATTGATGAGGCCTGTCATCACACTACTTGATGTGGTGCTGCCATCTTCAGGCCTCAGCTGGTAATGCAGGTGCTCTTTTTTTTTTTTTTTTTGCCTTATCGGTCCCTACTGAGCAGTTGCTCTCAGGCATTGGCCACGAAGATCAAAGAGTAGGAAGGGTTTAAGTTGAAGCGCAGAGCTCAGTTGTAGATTTAGCTGATTATTTTCTGTCTGTAGATGAAGGCTAAGTGTTCAGTGAAATCAGCCGCCTTAGTCTTGTGAATAGCAGCAGACTCTTGGACTCCACAGGCAGGTCAGAGGGCAGGTGGAGGCAGTTCTTTAGGGAACTTATGAGACTTAACATCAGACACTAAGAAAACACTCTGCTGCTGGGATGTTATATTGGGTTCAGGGATGTATTTTTCTTTCCCAGTACCCACTGCTGTTTTTCTACTTTAAACGTCCTCAGTCAAATGCTCCAAAAGAGTGGTTACATATTAATTAGATGTCCGATATATGCAGCGAAAACAAAACCCGTTTTATGTTTTTCCATTCTTCCTAATAGCTCTCTATAAATAGCGGTCCACGGCATTTGGAGACACAGCTGGTGCTGTTTCCTCCATCTGCACTGTAACACAACTACAGTATGCAGCATTGGTTAATGCACGTGTATGCATACACACACACACCCACACACACACACACACACACACACACAGAGCCACTGAGGGTGATGTTGTGACCTTGCCAGCTGCACCTTCCACACTGTGTAGCCTGATTGCATTAGGTTTATATTGTATTGCATCATCAACTTTGGATTATTCTTTGTTGATGTTCCCATTCTTACTAGAAAAGAAAAGAGAGCACAATGTCTCACTCACACAATATGAAAGAAAGGATCATTCATATTCCTTTTTAGTAATTCCACACAGACTACAGTCCTAGCAGGGAGCTTAACTTAATCTTTTCAGCTCTTTGTTCATATTACTCAGCATGGGCTTCCAAACATGACAATGAGGCAAAAACACCAGATTGACAACTTGGGATTTAAGAACTTCACTGGCCTCCATGTTGAAGCTTGAATGCAAACAAAATAACTTTTGATTATATTTCCGGCATCCCCCCAAAAAATAAAACTATAAAAAATATGTCCATTATGTCTTAAATTAAATCACAAAACACCACTGAGGGTGACTTAGCAGTGTAGATTTTTCTTTTCCAATTAGATTCCAGTTAAAAACCAGTCCAGTAAACATAGCATCTGAGAATAAAATCTGTGAGTTAAGATTGTCAGTGCATTGTGACGTGTTCATGCTATCAAATTGAAAAACTTCGGCAAAAAAAAAACAACCAAAAAACATTATGAAGGTTTTATATTTTCAGCTAGTTAAAGCTGCAGTAAAACAAACAAACAAACAAACATAAAATGCTCTAATCTTTCCGTCCTAAGCCCCTCCCACCAGATGAGCACGCACATATGCACATGGTTCAAGTGAACAAAAATAGCCACAGCACAAATCAACATTCACCGTTGGCTCCACACGGCATTCACAACCTGGATTTGTGCCACTGCACAACCTCGTCCTCCTCTTGCTGCCAACTCTGTTGCTTTATACTATCTGACCCCATCTGGGTGAAAAGACACGTGATTGGTCAAAGTCTCCCATCACTGGCAAGCTTTTCTAAAGCCTGAAAATGGAGCAAACAGGAAGTACAGACATGTAGTTTCCTCCTAGATCACTTGAGTTACAACATGCCAAAAGATAATTATGGAATGTTTGGCCATTGTCACCAAATAATAACTGCCTACCACAGCTTAAAGAAACTACAAACCTGAAATATTTGAAAAACATTTTATTTGACAAAAGAGAGACACAGAATTACCACTATTTTTTTAATTACATGAAAGATTTATGATGGATTGCTTCAAAGTGTCACTCTTTAAAGGACGAGTGATCTCTGTCAGATTGCTGGAAGTTTTCATGGCACATTCCTCGCTACATGTTCTTCCCTGCTGCTCATCACAGTCCTATGAGTTCTACATGGTTTAGAGGCGTGAGCTCCAAATCCCACCGGTGTATTTTAAGGGCATGTTATCTTCATTTTTTAATTTTTTTACATGAATAAATTAAACCATTTATCAGAGCCAGAAACTACAAACACAGAAAGAATCATCAACTTGCTGACAGTCCTTGAAGCAATCGTGTGGTTTCATTGGAAGACTTTACCAAATCCAATCCTTATAATCATGATATTTAATAAAAATCACTTCATTCTACATGTCTCATTATAAAAATCTGACACACACAAACCATTTTGACCTCCTTCTACGGGCTAAAGACATTCCTTTTTGCACCCCTTATTCCACTACAACATTTCAAAGACTCTCAGCGCACCCTGAAACAAGGAGGAATAATGATCTGTGATGGAACATCCTAATTAACCTGCTCCTCGAGAAGACATCTTCCCCTGATTAAAAAAAAGGCCTGATACTTAACTTCCTACAAAGTAGACAAGAAAACTTGCCTTGTTTGTGTGACTGTTTGCCTCATTAAAGTTCTCCTCTGACAACAACACCCAAAAAGAGGTTGTATGATCTTGAGTGAGTCTTTTACTTGTCTGTTAAATGCAGCAGCGTCTTGTGCAACAGAACAAGCTCCTTTGTTAAATGAAATGAGATCAAAGCAGACTTTCTTCCTCTCCAGAAGTTCCATATGATTGCCTCTGCTGTGCCTCCTCAATTGAATTACACTGATAGAAGCTTTTTTTGGCAGATGGAATGAGAAAACATCCAGACACAAATCAATTTTCAATACAAAAATTCCACTCACTGAGACAACTCAGGATGTAAATCAAATGCTGTACATTCTGTATCATGCAACTCATGTGGAACCGGCGATAAGAACGGGATTTCTACACAATGTTGTGTAATGAGGAGTCGACAGATCTTCAGACAAAACATCTACAGAAAGAGGTAGAAGCTTTTCTGAGAGTAATTGAGGCGAGCGAGGTGATGAGACTGCAGTCTGTGAGAGAAGAAGGAAAGTGACTGCTGTTCTGACTGTGGTGGGAAATGGGAGCTCCAGAACACAAACTTGTGAGGGACTTAGGAAATTAAAGCGCTGCCTCACAAGATGTCCCATACGTCCTTTCTCCATTACTCTCTTAGTCAATTACCAGTAATTGGAGTGCCGCCACAACACCTTTCATCATCCTCTCATCAGAGCACAATCAATCTCATTCTCATTCACTTGAGGTGGTGTTACAAACATTATATACCCAGAAAGACTTAGAGCAAGCGGAAACTTCCAAGTTAAACAGAGGAGGGAACTGGGCACGAACACTTCTGCTGAAGTCAAAATGTGTCAGCAGCCCAGATTGCTTCAGACTGGCAAAATGCCACAAAAACAACACAAGCACCAACTTTCCTCCGTCACTGCACATCATCCACTGCACACACAGACTGTGTCCTACCTGCGTGACTTTCTCGGTGACGTTGTGTGTCCGGTCAATAAGTTTGCATGGAGCGATGATGTCCATCTCCCCAGAGGGCAGGGCGATGAGTGGGTCGGGTTTGAAATCCACAAAGTTGAGGGTGATCTGAGGGATTTTGGAAATTGTGCGGTACCTCATGAGGTCAGAGTCTGACGTGGAGTTCAGTATGTTTGACTTGCTGTTTACCGCACCTGCAAACGCAAACAATGCAACAGAGAGGTAAGACAACAAATGGGATATTACAACAAGTCCTCTGTTTGTCCAGTTCCTCTGTCTCACCAGTGCTGCTGCTGGCCGGCCGGACACTCGCTCTCCGGTTCTTTCGGTCCCAATCGGGCCTCATGGCCTCGATTTCGTCTACAGAGGAGGCGCGCCGCATGCTGTGGAAGCTTTCCCGCGAGCGGCTATGTGACAGGGAGCAGTTAGAGGCCGAGCCGTCTGGGTTGAGGCTGAGGCGGTGGTGGGGTGCTACGCAAGGTGAAGACTGGGTGAGAGGACCCACCAGGTGGGAGCCGTGATGAGCCACTGGATGATGGGGGACGGGAGGCTCCGAGCACAGTAAGGTGCGCTGGTCTTCCTGGCGGTCTTCTGGCCAACTCTGTAGAGCCGACCTAGGAAACACAAAGGGAGATTATGGGTATTCATAGGTTGTCATCAATGAACTGGCTAATTCAGGTTAAAGCAACATGAAAGCAAGTATCTGCCAAACTGCACGGCACCGGAGCAGAACACAAGGACACAATTTATTTTTAGATTTTTACCAACAACGACCTTTGACTTCACTGTAGGAGGATAAGGAACATAAGGATGTCCATCAAGTAAGAAAATAATTACACTAAAATGATGGCCTTATGAGATCATTTGGTGTTTCTCATATGATAGGATTTCACCTCTTAACAAAAAGTCAACTCTGAAAGTTAAAATTAAAACGCCTAAAATAAAAAAAAAAGGTGCCAAATATGAGTTTCATGAAAAAGATTACACACCAAAGCCAAACAAACATTCCTTGAACTTGATTCTGGCCTGATGTTTGTCGGTAAGAATCCCATGAGAAAGTTGCTTTTCTGCAGCATGCTCTAATATCTGTGTATATAGCTTTTATATAAAACCATTCATGAGTACAAAATATGTTCCACATCATCAGAAAATAAACCTTTGCTGATTCATGTCTTAACCCTGAAGCATCTACCTGCTTCCGCTGAGTTGCTCCTGGTGGTCCGGTGCTAAGGGGGGAAGGGGCAGGAACTCCCCCAGGCCTAAGGACTCGTGACTGGGGTGGTCTGGATGCAGCGGCAGCGGTGTAGCGATGGGGATGTGACCGGCCTCTGCGTCGTCCAGGGACGCTTTACTGTTGGACAAGGAGCGCAGCAGGGGAAGACGCAACTTGAAGCCTCGTGGACGACCTGGTAGAGAGGAAGAGAGAAGGCGCAGGATAAGGCTCTTAACCTACACAGTGAGAGTTGAGATTAACTACATTGAACTGTGGCGCGAATGAGAATTGCAGTAGGAAAGAAAGACAGAAAATCTGAGGACATTGTAGGTGATGGAGGTCATGCGAGGAGAGAAGGAGATTTGAAGTGGATCAGCTTTTAAAATACAGCTTCAAAAACAATCTACCACAATCTGGGACGGCGAAATTGATTGGAATTTAGTTTTAGCCACAAAGTTAAAAAAAAAAAACAACAAAAAAAAGAATATGAATAAGAGAAACATTTGATTCCAAACATTAGTGTGCCCTACTTCAGATGATTTTCCCCTCGGTTATCCCTCGGGAACATTACGTTCACAGTTTATGAAAAAAACAATTTGGTCAACATGAATACCCAGAATTTACAAAAATAAAAGCACCTAACAAAGATCAGGACCACCTGGCCTTCCTGCAAAATGGAGTGAACAAACAATCAAGGTGAACTAAAGTGATTGTCACAGGATCACTGCAGCTACCGTAAATTCTGGACGATTGAGCTCAACCGAATAATAAGCCGCAGCCACTAATTTTAAAAAGAAAACAAGTTTCATACATATATAGGCCGCACTTGTCTATAAGCTGCAGGTGTCCAAGTTGTAACATGAGATATTTACACAGAAAGATTTTTTAAACTTTTGTACATTGTTCATCTATTATGTGTGTATTTCTGTGTGTACTGCTGCTGACAACACTGTGAACCTCTCCATAAATAAAGGCGTATGTCTCATCTCATAATTTAAACTATGTACCAATACCATATACAAATACGTAAATGCTTTTCTCCGAACAGTGCCTGTAACATGGCTGGTTAAAAAAATAAAAATACAGTAGCTGACCAAGAAAAGTCATTGATCTCTATCTTCATCTTCCTCCTGCACTAAAACCACTAAAGTTGTCTTCTTCAGCGTGGAATTGAACAGCCTCAGAGTTACTTCGTCACACACTTCCTCAGTCTCTCTTCGTAAAAATCCATAAATTAGCCGCATCATTGTTTAAGCCGCAGTGTTCAAAGCGTGTGAAAAAAGTAGCGGCTTATAGTCTGGAATTTACGGTAGTCAAAGTGTAACGTAAATGAGCAGAAAAGCATTTATTGAGTTTTCCAAAAGAAAGTGTTAATTAGGTATACTAATGGCATATACTGTAGTCATACTTCACTAAGCCAATTAGAAAACATAATTAAATTAAACTTGTGGGTGTGGAAGATTAGGACATAATAGATGGAAAACCTGGACTCGGATAAAAAAGCGTGAGCAAATGTTTTCGTCCTCTTTGCAACAGTTGCTGCTGAAACACCCTGGAGAAGATGAAACATGAGCAAACATCATTAAAACATGGTTAGCTGGTAGCTACCTGTAACGAGCCAGGTGGGCAGGCGGTGGTTCAGATCCTGTTTGTGGTCTCGAAGTGTCTCGTCAGTCATGACCTCGAAGTTGAGGATAAACATGATCACCACGCCATCCTCGTTCTTCACCGGCACCACATCCACCATACACAGGATGCACTGACCTACAGGGGCAGACGGACAGATAAGACTCAGTCACACTAAATCTATTTGGTGGCACTTGTTAGCCAGGGTCTCTTACAGTACAGCAAAGTGCAATATTCCCAAACCCAATCCAACAACAGTGAATACATCTGTGATCAATGACACATGGTTGTAAAATGACCTGTAAACACCAGAACTTCCTCAGGTTTGGACCTTGGTTGTGATGATGGCAAAGGATACAGGAAGATCAGTGACCAACTCAAAATCCATGAAAACACACATTTCTAGCAGTAATCAGGAGAAATATACAACACACTACCACTAATCAGAGCTACATTGACCGTCGCCCTAAAATAACGCCATGGAAAGTGCACAACTTTCACAATATACCTCTGAAAAACTGATGAATGCATAGTCCTGACAGTCAAGAAAGGAGGTGGGAGTGTGATGATCTGAGCATGTGCATGAGTGCCAAGGCTGTCGATATACCAAAATAACTGATGACTCTCAGTCTGCAGAAACTTGGCAGATGAGGTATATTCAAACATGGTAACAATTCAAAGAGTACTGCCAAAATCAGTTTCTAAAAAAGAGCAGTATGACTTGACAAGTATGTCAGCCAACTTAAATGGAATAGAACACCTTTGGTATATTTAAAATAGAAAAGCAGAGCAATGCAGTACAACCCTGGTATCCTCCATGGTCAGTAGGATTAAATCTGTCTTAAAAAGTTAAGGTTGGACATCCAAAACATTGAAAAAATAAAAGATTTGAATCTCAGTGATGACAGATATAGTGATTGTAGTTGCAGTGAGCTCTGACTGTATGGCCTGTATTTTTATTATAGTCGATCTAAACTGTTAGTCATTCATCCATCCATCCATTATCTACATACCGCTTAATCCTCACTAGGGTCATGGGGGGCTGGAGTCTATCCCAGCTGACTCAGGGTGAAGGCAGGGGACACCCTGGACAGGTCACCGGTTTATCACAGGGCTACACTTAGAGACAGACAACCAAGCACACTCACATTCACACCTACGGACAATTTAGAATCACCAATTAACCTCAACATGTTTTTGGACTAGTGGGAGGAAGTCAGAGAACCCAGAGAGAACCCACGCTGCACGGGGAGAACATGCAAACTCCACGCAGAAAGATCCTGGTGTCCCCACTGGGACGCGAATCGGTGACCTTCTTGCTGCGAGGCAACAGTACCACCAACTGCGCCACCTTGCAGCCCCGTTAGTCATTCAACTCAGAAGTAATGCAACTATTCAGAGGTGATCCAGTTTTGAATCATTTCAGAGATATTGCACAGGTTTGAACTCACTTCTGTTATCGACTGTATATAGTTCTAGAACTCAGATGAAAACCTCCAACCCTGGTGAAGTTGTTCCAAGGAGCAGCAAAAGCACAGAAAGCAGCAAAAATGGTCTTTCACAAGCAACACAAAAGTTCAGTCTTCAATGGCGGTGTGAATGCTTCTATAACACAACTTTGTGCAGAGACACTGTCGTGTGCATTATGAACCGTCATATACACACCCATGACTGCAAACACACATACAGTACGTGAACTAATCACACACACACACTTTGTCGTTCTCTCGACTTAATAAATGTGCATCTGCGCTTAATCAGCTCACACGCTTTCTTCCATATGAGGCCGGGCACGTTCGCTAATCTGCCACTCGAGTGCTAAAACAGCTAAGTAAGCGTGAAATTAGACTACATATGACTGTAAGTGGCTGGGCTTGGACACACTGTACACACCTCCTCTGCTGGAAGTCAAAATAAGCTGCTATTCAGGTTTTGACACCCGAAATGCAAACCTTTAAAGTATCAAAACAAACACACACACACAAGGCACGATGATGGCAAATTAAAGTATGATCTGACTGAGATAAACATACAGGAGTGACGACAAATCAAGACAGGAACACAATCTGAGACCCTCTCAAAGTGGATAAACATTTGCAACATCTCCTAAGCATTAAGTGGAAATAACCTGGAGATGCAAATTTATCAGGAGTTTGTGTCCAAACTCTTTTAGCAGGCGATATATATCTGATATTTTTTGGTACAAATGAATACTGGGCCTCTGTTCAGAATAGTGAACAAGCTGCACAATCAAAGCAAGTCAACAACCATCACATATTTAGACAAAAGTGGGTTTCCAATATCGAAACTATTTCTGTCTCAGGTAAAAGTGAAATACAACTGCATTTACAGGTCAGAAAGTATATACACAGATCAAGGCCAAATCAATGAAGGTTGTCTTTTGTTTTTTTGAAGATCAAGGTATTTGAAAAAAAAAAAAGCAGATAGCATTTAAATGTCTGTAATTTTTCTTCTAAAATTACTTATGTATGTACGCAACAGCCATAACATTATGTTATACATGGTTTTAAATCTAATTTAGCCTGACATCACAACTCCGTCTCCCACTTATCATAATGACAAAACATAATACCAAGAAACAATAAAATGCATCTAGTCCGCATATCAAAATAAAGGCTTATACTCTACATCAGCTTTTAGAGAATTTAAGAAAGCTATTTAGTTTCTCGCTGTAATCCTCACGCTCATGTTTGTTTCCTCTAAACATGGACACCTTGGCCATGTCCGAATCGCTCCTCTCACATTTCCCAACATACCTGACGTGTCTTGTCTCTTACCTGGACAGTGATGGTCAGTGGCCTGGTTCCACAGCAGTTTTTTGGTGGTTAAGGAGCACTTACAGCCAGAACTGAATGCTGTACACGCCAAACTACAGTGTGTCTACTGCATGCCTGCTTCACCCACTCAACCTGCCTGCCATTCATCTCACATCATCGCTGGAGAGTGGGCCGAAATCCGATTGGACAACAGCATAATCCCAACACAGGAGGGGAAAAAAATATGAAACACGGGGAAAACTAAAGGATTACACCATCTGGCCATATCTTGCAGTGCGCATGTATGTGTGTCTGTTTGCGTTCATGCTTATATGTGAACATGTGTAGGTAGATGACCAGGCTGATGTTCATTCACAAGGTATTGGGTCATGTCCATTCATGCCTGCTTTCATTAACAGCTGTGGCACTGCATTTGCAGCTTTTTTAATTACTGAAGGTGTTGCTGCATCACGCCTAAAGCCGCTTTACAAAGCTCTGCAGGCACCTGACAAAGGAAAACACACAGATTTGTGTCATAATGTAGCATTTCCAAAGCTTTTGTCCATGTTCACACTTTTATCAAACAGGAGACAGACAGAAGCTAAAAATGACAACACAAACTAAGTCAGCAAGTATCTCTGAATCTGAGGTCGTGCGGTTTTCAGATTGACAGTATATTTTAATTTGACCAAAGAGTTTCGTCTTCAAATTACTTTGTGTTAGCTATGGCAATAATAAGAACTATTTTCTGCTTTAAGGGCTGCAGGGTGGCGCAGTTGGTAGCACTGTTGCCTCGCAGCAAGAAGGTCGCCGGTTTGTGTCCCGGTGGGGGCACCGGAATCTTTCTGTTTGCATGTTCTCCCCGTGCAGTGTGGGTTCTCTCCGGGTTCTCTGGCTTCCTCCCACACACCAAAAAAACATGTTGAGGTTAATCGGTGATCCTAAATTGTCTGTAGGTGTGAATGTGAGTGTGCTTGGTTGTCTGTCTCTAAGTGTGGCCCTGTGATAGACTGGTGACCTGTCCAGGGTGTCCCCTGCCTTCACCCTGAGTCAGCTGGGATAGACTCCAGCCCCCCACGACCCTGGTGAGGATTAAGTGGTGTATAGATAATGGATGGATTATCTGCTTTATGTTTTTACATTTTTATTAAAAATCCCATGTACAAAAAAAAATCATATCTAATAAAATCACTGCAAAGTTTTGACAAAATGTAGCTTCTATCCTGTTTTAAATGAACCTGAATGAATCATTTTTCTATGTTTGTGAGATTTCTAATACAGTATAAACTGAGAAGAGCTGACTCAGCAGTTCAGCCAGAGTCCTGACCTAATGGTAAAGAAGCCTCCAACCTCAAAGACCTGAAGATCATCACCAAGAGGAGTGGAACCAAATCCCAGTGGAGACATGAAAAAAAGCTAGCAATGAAATGCTTTGTCATAGATTACTGAGGAAAGAGAACGAATAATTATAAACACAGCACAAAATATGTATTAACAACATGAAGTAGTTGAAAGTTATCGTTAACATCTCTAACACAATTTATTAGTCATTTCCAGACAGAGGAAACCTATTGATCGAATAAAAAAAAATCACTGTGGATTAAAATGTATCATGGGTATGAATAATTTGGGGCTTAAGTGTAAGTACAGTGAATTTCATCTCTTCATCATCACCAATCTAAAAGTGGGACTGATGTAACCTGTATTATAATTACATTGTGCAGAAAACGTCAGCAAATAATGCAGGCTTTATTTTTCCAGAGAACACTTTCATAAAAAACTCAAATCTATTCAAGTCTCTCATATCACATTGTCAAACTGATTAAATTGGATTAATGGATTCCCTCACTGATTCTAATTACTGTCACATGAACGGTAATCTGAGACAGATTTCTAGCACCGGTCCTCACGGGAGGGTTTTCATTTTAGATCCCATGTTTCTATGTGGAACACGGCCTTGGACCTGACGCACAGACGACTACGCCTCAGAGGCACTTCAGCATCAGTCCCAAAGGTTGAACCAGAAGTCCCATTCTACTCTGTTGTCCAGTCTCTCAAATCAAACTGTGAAAGCAGAGAGCTGTCAGTGTGCATGTTCTGTTCTGATACAACACACAGTGATGTGTGTTTTGTGGATGACAGATGTGATTTGTAGAAACACACATATGTGCACACATACACACGCACACATGCACAATGTAGGATTAAATGTCAACAAAAGAGGATTTAACTTAAGTTGATTGTTTTAAGTCATACTGAGTATTGTCAATTCTTCTTATGAATCTGGAGCATTCACTGAGCTGTGTTTCACATCTCAGATTGTGTGTGTGTGTGTGTGTGTGTGTGTGTGTGTGTGTATCTAAGTGTGCATATAATGTACAATAATCACACTCATGCATGCATGCATTAATGCCTGAGTGCACAGTACAGTATGGTGTATGGTACCACACAGTCTGTAGACACATGCGCACATAAGTGAGTTTATCTAAGTGAGTGTGTATCAGGAAGTGTGTGTGTGTGAGTGTCCTGATTTTTGTAGAGTGGTAAAAATCAAGGATTATGCCTACATATTTTAGGAACATCAGACCTATTTGTTGTTACCGTCTACTGTAAAAGATTTCCTCCGAGAGCGTCTGAAATGAATTGAGCTCTGAGGTTAACAGGGCAAATGCCATTTCATCTAAATGCTCCGCCTGGATGTATTCCAATTCAGCGTGTTCCAGCTGATAATCTGATTCAACGTTGCTGACTTACAAAGCTCTAGGAGATTATCACAATGCGCTAAAACACATCCAAAAAAAGCACCGAGTGCAAACTGCTCATGGCGGACAGGGGATAGTCCAGCGATCACACAACACAGTGTGCTCGTCTAGAAGAATTACAAAACAAGTCGAGTCCAAATGTAGCAAACCTGCAGGACACTTGCACCCCTGTCTGCTATGAATGCCAATGATTTAGTGTAACGTAGCAAATGAGAAGGTAAAAGATCCCATCAGACTGGATCAGTTGTTTAGTTGGAATATTTGGGGTAGCAGTCTATGAAACAGAGAAATATGAAGGTGACATGCCTCCGGTGGCAGGCAGACTGTGTGCATAACTTCTGATGCTGATGCAAAAGTAAGCAAGAGCATTCATCTTGGGAGTATGCTTTCAGGTAAGTTTGAAATGTGTATTTTATCTTAACATTCTAAGGCTTCCATTCATCCACAATGCTGTTAACTTTTTTCCAGAAATCACCATATTACTCAACTGTTGCTTCCCTGGTTATCAGCAGGTTTTAGATCTGGTTTTAATGTTGTATTCCTTGCTTTTAAAGCCTTACACAGCCAACTTAGATGTGTGTTCTTCCATGTCCTTAGGAGCCTGATCACCGTTAAAGAGCCTTCGGCAGGATTTTTTTTGACTGTTCCTGAACCTCTCTGTTTGACCAGGGATAGACCGACATGTTTTTGTTGTTGTTTTTCCGGGATTGATACCGATTATTCATACTCAAAAAATGCTGACAACGAACACGTAGAAGAATAATAGATTAAATGTTAACACGGCATGACATAGCAGAGAACCTGCCAATCATAACTACATTACGTCATTATTAAGGATTATGTACAGTAGAAACAGAACTGATGACAGCAGAGTGTCACGTGATGTTTTGATGTTCTGGTGGAGGTGGAGTGACTGAGATTTAACCATAGACTGTATAAAAGATGGACGTAGCAACCGGCCCTGAAAAATGAAGCCAACCCGGAAGTGTCAAAAATCTGCAGTATCACTACGTCTGCTAGTTTCTGGCTCCAACAAGGCCTGGCTCCCATAGACTGGAATTGGAAAAGAAGTGATCACAGATCACCAAATACCACATTCCTACAGCTCAGGATTTTTCTAAAATTAGTTTTCATAATCAAATTCAGAGATCAGGTGGCCAATCTGAAAATAAATCAATACTGATTTTTTTAAAAAATCATCAACATTTGGAGGGGCAAGGGGCGTGGCTGGCTTGATTGACAGTCGGCAGCGACGATGCAGAATATTCTGAAAAATATCAAAATTATTAAATAGAACTATTACGATAACAATATACTTTGCTGTAGTTGTAGCAATAGCGATATGCAGTACATCAAGATGGACTTGATGTACTGCATGTGGACTGTGTTTTACGTCTATGGTTTCACAAATGGTGGTCACATGTGGACTCCTTTAAAAGATTAGAATCCATCTTTAAACCAGACAGACATGGTCCCATGCTCCCACAATCCTCATATAGGCAAATTTGGATTGAAAAGAATGACCGAATGATGTAAAAACTGACCCTGACAATGTATAGGCCATTCAGGATCAAAGCTGAGCTGTATTTAAATCACTCATTGAGTTTAGACAGATTAACTGAGATTCTTTACAACCTCTGACAGAACTGATAGAATTTAACTTAACTAGCAAGCAAGGAAGGATAACCCAGAGAGCATAAAGTAAAGAAGGAAGGCAAAGACAGATGGAGGAAAAAAAAGGAAAAGCTGAAGGAAGTATGAGGAGAAACAATAAAAGAAGCCTAAAAGAGATGTGGACAAAGCAATAATGGAAGCGGAACAGTAAGGAAAAAAGGAGTTAAGGGAATGTTAAGTACGAAGGAATAAAGGGTGACATAAATGACTTCTGGTTGGGTTAGCAGTCCATTAAAACAGCGTGAGTGGGACACTTCCTGAACCCCCAGCCGACTGGACAGCACATTGTTGTGTGCTGAGCTTAGAGGGACAAGGTGGAAAGGATTAGCTGTTCAGGAAGGTCCTTCTCCCAGCTTAGCAGGAGATGAGAGTGGATTGGAGAACAGTAAACAGAGATTTGGTCTCCCCAAAGTAACCTAATGTCAAACCACACTGCAACTCCACTGTGACAACTCCCATGGAGGCCATTCAGAATCCATCCTCTCATTTTAACCTTTTCAACCTGAGAAACATACACGAGTACATCAGCA